CTAGAGAAGTAAATGACAAACTATTCCAGTATCTTTACCAAGAAAACCCCAAATGGCATCATGAAGAGTCAGACATAACCAGAAATGACTGAACAACAACAGCAACTCTTTCTAGCACACCAAGTTGCTTCCAGTCTCCTAGAGATAATAACTAAAATATGATCATTGTTACATTTGGAGTTTTAAAGTAATGACTTCTCTGTCACTAGAGGTCTTCAATAGAAGCCTGGATAACTACTTCTTGGAGATGTTTTAAACGGAGGAAGGAAACTCTGAGAACTTATCCAACTCCTTACAATCTTAGTGTGATGCCATCTTTTTGTGTATGAGGTTTTTTTGAAGGGGTCAAAATTAGGGAACCCCTCCCTAATGCACTCTGAGCAGCCTCAATAAACAGGAAAGGAAAATAGATCCCATCATTGCTCTGACAAACTAATTTGAAGAATGGCCTTCTGGCAAAAATAAAAATAAACTTTAGACACTGCTTTTCAATCAGGGGGATTATTCTAAATGTGTTATTGTGGAAGGCATGAAATATGCATTAGAGAAACCATGTTTTCCCATTCCAAGTCTCCTCATTCAGTTTGCACTGGTTGGATATTTGTGCAAATCTAGGTTTTTCCTGACTATCACTATTATTTATGATTTTCAAACAGTGTCAGTAAGTGCTGTTAAGACGTTATTAATATTCCAATGCTCTTGCATAGGACAATGCCTTTTAATCTGCAGTCTGATAACTGCAGTAAAAGTACATTAAATGGTGATTTCAAACATAAGAAGCAGCTTCTATTTTCTCTCTTCTTCCTGCCTCTGTTCCTTCTTTCCTACCTCCCTCCCTCTCTTTTCCTTTTCCTTTTCTCTTTCCTTCCTCCCTCCCTCCTTTCCTTCCTGTTTTTCCTTTCTGCTTCTCTTCCTTCCTCCCCTTTTCTTTTTTCCTCCCTCCTTTCCCCCCTCTCCTCCCTATCCAATTTGTTGCTAAGGCCTGTCAATTTCACCTTTGAAACATCTCTTGAATATGCCCGATTCTTTCCTCTGATATTGCTGCCATTATGAGGCAGGTCCTCATCACCTCATATTTGAACTACTGAAATAGCCTGATGCATTTTTCTACATCTCCATCCAATCTATCCTCCATTTGGTCACCAGAGTGATTCTCCTAAAGTGCAGGTGCAACCATGTTGCCCTCCCTAAATAAATGCTATTGTCCTGTAGCTTCCAAGATCAAATACAAAATTTTCTGTTTATCTTTCAAAGACCTGTGTAACCTAGGCCCCACTCCACCTTTCCAGTCTTCTTATACCACATGCTCTTTGATCCAGTGACACTGGCTTCCTTGCTATTCCTTAAACAAGACACTTCATCCCTTGACTCTGGACACTTTCTCTGGCTGTCCCCCATGCCTAGAATGCTCTCCCTTATCATCTCCACATACTGGCTTCCCTGGATTCCTTCAAGTCTCCTATTTTCTACAGGAGGCCTTTCCCAACCCCTCTTAATTCTAGTTCTTTCCCTCTTTTAGTTATTTACTATTTATCCTATATTTAGCTTTTTTGTATATATTTGTTTGCTTGTTGTCTCCCCTTTAGATTGTGAGCTCCTTGAGGGCAGGGAGTGGCTTTTATCTCTTTTTGTATAGTGCTGATTACAGTGCTAACACATTGAAAGCCTTTAATTGACTGAGTTTAGTCAGGAATAGGAGTTTAGCAGGAGTTTATTGACTGACTGGTATCTCTGGCTTCAGATTTGTTTGTTTGCTTGCTTGCTTGTTTTCCCATAAAACAATGAGATTGAACTGGAAAATTTCTGAGGTTTCTTAGATCTCCAAAGATCATCAAGCCCAACCTCCTCATTTTAGGGATAAGGCAACTAACTATTAAGGTGGTTGACTGGCAGGATCAAACTTGATTTAATAGTTGACATTTATATAGGGTCCAGCAGTTTACATACATTATCTCATTTGATCTTCTAAACTACTCACGGGAGATGGGCACCACAGGTGTTATGATCCCCATTTTACAGGTAAGGAAACTCAGAGAAATGAAGTGATTTGCCTATAGTCACAGAACCAGTAAAGGAGTCAAGATCCAGGCTACAAACCCAGGTCTTACTCATTTTAGAGCAAGCACACAATATATTCTACCATACTCCATCTCATGAGAGCATAGACAGGATTCATCCATCTATCATGTGCCTTCTATTGGCATCAATAAACTTTTCTAATAGATAGTCAACTAGAACCTTGGATAAGATCTTGAACATTTTTATTCTGGGAAGGAGATTATAAATCAGAATTAAGATGCTCAGCAGGAAATTTGATCCTTTGGGTATACAGTTGGTGCACACTTTTGTCTCAATGACAAGGGCCTTCAAGCTTCTTTTGAGTGATGTGATTGAGGCAAGGTGGGAGAGAAGCCTCCTGCAGGTGCCTCAGAGATCATTCTCAAATAGGGGTTCCCAGACTGGGATCTGTAAACTTAAAAAAATTGATAAATGGATTTCTATGTAATTGATTTCCTTTGTAATTCTATGTATTTTGTTTTATGCATTTCAAAACTTTATTCTGAGTGAAAGTTCATAAGCTTTGCCAAACTGCCAGAGGTCCATGACACAAAAAAGATTTAGAATCCCTCCTCTAGAAGAGGCTTTACTCTCCAGAATATCCTTAAACACTGTCTTCAGGGCTACTTCCCCAATTCTTACTCACATTGGAAGGAAGAAAGAAAAAAAGCATTTATTAAGGGCCTATGTGTCAGACACTTTACAAATATTATCTCATTTAATCCGCATAACTACTCTAGGAGGCAGGTGCTTTTATTAGTCCCATTTTAGGGATTAGGAATTAGGAAAATTAGGAAAATTGAAGCAGAGAAAGGTTGTGACTTGCCCAGGGTTATATAGCTAGTAAGTGTCTGAGGCTGGATTTGAACTCCGCACTCTATTCACTCTGCCACCTACTTGCCTCCCAGGTCCCTGAAGAGTAATTATTACATCCTTCTTCAGGACATAATGAATGACCCTGAGGCCTTGGGTTTTTTTGTTTTGTTTTTTTAGTACTGTTCCTGGTTAGCTCCCATTGATGTATTCTCCATTTATTATCATCCTATAGCTTCAGTGGCTTTTAGGAAAAGTTGTAGGTTTTTGTTTTATTTTTGCTGGGGGGGATGTGGTTTTTGTTTTGTTTTGTTTTGTTTTACTAATGTTTACACAGTTGTGTACAAGACAGTTGGTACAAAAATGTACCTCCAAAGTAAGGGGCACACTCTACTACGAGTAACACAAGTCCATAGGAAGGGTTAGGTCAAAATCATAAATGAATGACAACAGTGGTGAGGCACATAGGCAAGAAGCATGTGTGACAAAGTGGTATCTCACAGCTCTTAGTTACTGCAAGTCTTTTCCTTCCTGCATAGAATTCTCCAGGTACACACTGATGGTAAATCCATTTCTTCTGACCTTCACTTTTAAAAGTTCACAAGGTTGTTCTTTGGTCAAGGGGCAATGGGAGGAGAGAGAACTCAAACCTCCTCCCAAAGGCAACTGCTTCATCCACCACTAAACTGGCCTCTTGTAGTAATCTCTGATTAAATACTTGATTCTCAACTGACTTGCTGTAATATACATTGGGTCCAGAGTTGTATATAATTCTTTCAACAAGTCCCAATATATTTCCCTTGTGGCATCTGATTTCATCTAGTGACCAAAGTACTTCACCACTCTTGCAGAATTAAGACCTTTTCATACCTAGTTTACAATTTTGATTGATTGATTGGTTTAAAAGAGGTCTAGGACTTCACATCTTGTTTACACTTTTGATTGATCCAGAAGCATGTCTAGATCTTCTGTGGCAAATACATTAATTGAGGTGGGGGTGCAGAATACACCTCTATACATATTAATATGTTACCAATTCAGTGTTCTACATCAGAAATAAAGTAGGTGCCTTGCAAAGTGAGTGATCATATATAATCAGGGAAGGGCAGCCTCAACCTGGGAATCTGTCTTACACTCTCACCCATGTTTACCTGGTGCAGGAAAAGAGACAATGGCCTAAGTCAGAAAGATGAGGGACTCCAAAAAGGCCACAAGCACTTGGTTCTAGCGAGAGCTCATTTACTAGCTGCGTCCCTAATCCAGAACAGAAGCGGATGGGGCGGGGGGGGGGGGGGGGGGGAGAAGGGAAACACCTATTAACTTTCACCACTAGGTGGGGATAGTGTCCCAATGTACCGCCGTGGCTGCTAGGGTTGGGGAGGGGGTAAGGGAGGTGGGCAGCGGAGGCTTTGCAACCTCCACAGGAGGACACAATGCAGACTAGGCTTAGCGCAGCTCCTGGGCCAGATACCTAGGAGTGAGTAGAGCGGTAGTGTCAAGAGTAACTGGGACCAAACAGGCAACTTCTTTGGAGCAATGGGAGCATCCAGCCAGGCCCCAGAACTGCGAGGACGGAATGCGCATCGCGACACAAGAGGAGCCAGCCTCTAGTCCGGGGCAGAGCGGGGAAGGAAGCCAGCAGGTGGACTGCCGTAGCTCATAGGGACTGGCATCGAGGTGTTGGGGTGGCAACTGAGATGAGGGAGCCTGAGGCGGGAAGACTGATAGCACTTTAGCATAGCCTCGGGGTCCAGTATTGGAGTCCTTGAAGGGAGAAGCGTGGTCTGTTGGGAGCCTGGGTGTGCGCAGCACTTGGTTAGCTACACCCGCTCCGCCCCCTCCCCCGTCAACTCTCACCCCACCCCCACCCCTGTCCCCTTTGCTCGATTTGCCGTCTTCCGCGGTTGGGGACGGTTCCCCACTCTGGGAGTCTAGGGAAGAGCGGGGCCTGCAGAGCCTGGAACCCCACAGTGACCACGTGATCCTGGGAACTTGGACTTGGGGGAGGCAGGTAGGAGAGGGGTTCGTTTCCTCTTGCTCTTCGGCACCGTGGAACAGAGCCTGGGATAGGGTTCCTACTTCCCTTGTGTGTGTGTGTCTCTGGCTCTTTTTGGAAGCAAGTTCGAACAATGATCACAGTCAATTCCGATGGAAAAATAATGGTCAGAAGATGTCTGGTCACCTTGAGACCCTTTAGGTAAAGTTCTTTAACCACCATCTCTTTGAGGGTTTTTAAAGGGACGTGGGTTGGATGGGGGAGGGGTGATTTCTGTCCCCCTGACTGTGGGTGGGTGTGTGTGATCCAATTAATTTAACTCCAGAGGGGCCAATGGGTATAGAGTGATAGACTAAGGTAATCAGGCAGGTTTTAGAATCCTGCAAGGGTGGAATGAAGGTGGGGAGGTGGGAGGCAAAAGACGATGGTAGAGTTCTGTCGGAGCATGGAGACAATGTCGAAGGCTGGAGACGTGTGTGTGTGTGTGTGTGTGTGTGTGTGTGTGTGTGTGTGTGTGTG